TAGCTGAAAATCTGGTGAGTCTAAGATCTGGATCGTTTGGCGAAAAGTGCATTGAAGACTGAACCATAGAAACAGGTCAGAGTGAAAGCCAGTTTTTACAACCAGAGTCAAAAATCAGTGTGGAATAATTCATAGGTCCATCTTAATTTTATACTTTAAACATTGTGGTATCATCTCCAGAGTTTTGGCCTGTGCTTTCAAAATATCCCTGTGCCCAGTGCTTCCTAAGTGGGACACATTCAGCTCCTTGCTGGGGAACCATGGGACCCACTGAGGACCATGTCATCTTGTGCTGCCTCTGTGAAATGAGGCCCCTCTTCCTTGTTTCCTGACCTCACCTAAGAGTTTAAAATTATTTTTTAATAAGGTGGGGTGTCACCATCTTTGAAAAGATTTAAAATAGAATTTTTAAATTTTTTGTTTTTATGTACTCATATAAGAAAATTGGAAGTAGGGATCAGTCTGCCTCATTTATAACGGTTTATTTTGTCCATTAGTAGTAACAGGGATTAGAGCCTGTTGGCACCAGGGTACTTGAGCAGACACACAGGCCTGTGCGTTGGTGCTCTTGGGCTCACGTATCTTCATAAAAGGGACAGTATGGTGGGAAGGTCAACAGAAAAGTCTATTTTCAGTTTTGTGTTCCCAAATTCTTGTGGTCTTTCCACTTAAGAGCTTGAAAATATAAAGGGATTCAATTCAAATTGTTTAGCAGAAGTAACAAAAGGGTATCATAAGGGTCGTTTTATTCGTATGTTTATTTAATGTCTTCCACATACCTCATAACCCTTGCAGAGCAATCTCTGCTTTTTAAGCCTGCTTGTGAAGTCAACTTATGGTGCATCATGTTTTGTGCTAGAACATGGAGGAGGAATTAGCCACATGCAGGATAGAGGGAAGGGAAGACTCTGCAAATAATTTGGCATAGACTTTGCAGATAATTTGGGGGTCGGGGGTGGGGGTTTTCTTATGGTAGAGTTTGAGAATATATGCTTTACAGATACTCTTTTACTTANTGTTGGCACCAGGGTACTTGAGCAGACACACAGGCCTGTGCGTTGGTGCTCTTGGGCTCACATATCTTCATAAAAGGGACGGTATGGTGAGAAGGTCAACAGAAAAGTCTATTTTCAGTTTTGTGTTCCCAAATTCTTGTGGTCTTTCCACTTAACAGCTTGAAAATATAAAGGGATTCAATTCAAATTGTTTGGCAGAAGCAACAAAAGGTATCATAAGGGTCGTTTTATTCGTATGTTTATTTAATGTCTTCCACATACCTCATAACCCTTGCAGAGCAATCTCTGCTTTTTAAGGCTGCTTGTGAAGTCAACTTATGGTGCATCATGTTTTGTGCTAGAACGTGGAGGAGGAATTAGCCACATGCAGGATGCTTCTAAACAGAGGGAAGGGAAGACTCTGCAAATAACTTGGCATAGACTTTGCAAATAATTTGGGGGTGGGAGGTGGGGGTTTTCTTATGGTAGAGTTTGAGAATATATGCTTTACAGATACTCTTTTACTTAATCTATAAAGTCCTCCAAGGCGCATCATTATCTCATTTTACAGATTAGGGTGGTGAGTAGTGTGAAGACATGCCAGTGCATTGTCTTAAAATAATATTGAATTACGTAAGAAATGTTCCTCAGGGACATAAAATGAGCAAATTTCGACTTTTCAGTGAGCTGACATTTTTAGCTGGTTTTCTTCAGATATTTTTCTATATGTATATAAATTAGTTTTGCTTTATTACAATAGATTCATTGAGTTTTTAAAAACTGATTCAGCTAATCATTCAGAAAATCTATGAGGATTAACTACTAACATATTTGTAGTTTGCTCTGATTTGGGAATTACAATATGGTTTAAATTCCAATATGAAAAAAAATTACTAAGTAGATATATATTTGTACAACTGTTTTTGTTTTAGCCTATGTTTTCAAAACAGTATGTATGTACATAGATCGTATTGAACATTGTGAATGGGCTAAATAGTTTAAATTAAGAAAATT